AATCCTAGAGGATATTTCGGCTCAGCATGACATAAACAGTATTTTAGGAAGAAAACAGTTCAGGTGCTGGAATAAGAGACTGGGAATGAAAATAAGGATGTGTGGATAAATGTGCTCTTTTCCTGTCACAAAGGGTCAAAGATCTGGATGCCATCATCAGGGCAAAGGATGTTCTCAGGAGTGAACCTAGTCAGATTTCACCCACCCACTTCAAACATAATTTAGAAAATCTTAAGACCTCAGTCATTCTTTTACCGGCTACAGAATCAAGAAAAGTTTGTAGGAATTTTACATAGCTCTTGCTTCAGAAGAATAAAATTATGATTAGAAATATATCAGAACATTTTTATCCCTGCTTGGTGGGAATTCTCTATGTCAGCCAAGAAAGCTACAGTTTAGTATCTAAGTTCACCCTTTTGTTCCTAAAGATTTTCTGTTAACTATAATTAAACTAAGGAACATCTGAAGGATAACAGGTTTCCATATGTAGTATGCTAAAATTTGCTCCAAAGTCCACTACTCTAGTGAGTTTTATTTATAGAGCTTCCAAAGAGGAGATTTAGATAACATTTACTCCCCACAAATGCTGACTATGCACTAATTTAAGTATAGTTGATTTACAACGTTGTGTTAGTTTATGGTGTATAGCATAGTGATTCAGTTGAATATATACATATAAATATATATATATATATTCAGTTATATACATATTCCTTTTCCTATTCTTTTTCATTATAGTTTATTATAAGATATTAAATATAGCTCCCTGTGCTATACAGTGGGACCTTGTTGTTTATCTATTTTATATATAGTAGTTTGCATCTGCTAATCCCAAACTCCTAATTTATCCCCCTCCCTTTCCCCTTTGGTAACCATAAATTTGTTTTCTATGTCTGTGAGACTATTTCTGCTTCATAGATAAGTTCATTTGTGCCATGTTTTTTAGATTATACATATAAGTGATATCAGATGATATTTATCTTTCTCTGTCTGACTTACTTCACTTATGATAATCTCTAGATCCATCCATGTTGCTGCAAATGGCATTATTTCATTTTTTAATGACTGAGTAGTATTCCTTTGTGTATGTATGTATACACACACACACACACACACACACACATCTTTATCCAGTCATCTGTCGATGGACATTTAGGTTGCTTCCATGTCTTGGCTATTGTAAATAGTGCTGTTATGAACATCGGGGTGCATGTATCCTTTTGAATTAGAGTTTTCTCCAAATACATGCCCAGGAGTGAGATTGCTGGATCATATGGTAACTCTAATTTTAGGTTTTTAAGGAATCTCCATGCTGTTTTCCATAATGGCTGCACCAACTTACATTCCCACCAACAGTGTACGACTATGTGTTCTTGTTTTACTCTGGAGCGCAGAGCAGGGATCTGACCTGTAGGGTCCATGTTAAGGTCCTGATGAAAAGAAGGCCATGCACATTCTAATTGGTAAAGGTCACTTCTAACATAACAGTGGGTTTGCCATGTTTTACCTAAAACCTAACTCCTGAAAATATGAATCATCATGTAGGAATGTCAAGTGTTTTTTCTTGTCACCTATGACTTTGGCAAAGAGAAGAGCAATGACCGTGAAACACCATGTCCTCCTTGTCATCACACTTGCTCCCTCTACTCAGCACAGAGTGAAAAGGAACCAGGCTTACGATGTCATGAGAAAGCACAATGAACAAGGGAGAGGCAGCCACAGGTGAGGGGAGGCATGGGACTGAAGCCCAAGTTCAGGACTCCTACCTGGAAACACATCTTCACTAGGCGACCTGGGAAAATCATGGGGGCACCCGAGGGTGGCCAGTGATGACGAGGCCAGCTCCCCAGTTCAGGCTCCTCCTTTCCCGTTTAGCCACCAGCAAAATAGCACAATGCTCCACTGTCATCTGCCTTGTCCCACACAGATGGGCAGAACGCTGAGTGTGGTGCAGTCACAGGTCTCCATGGGGTGCTCAGCATCACCCCATGCTCATCACCTCCTCCTGCAGCTGCACCATCTGTCCAGCGTGCGCTCAGCCAGGGTTGCACAGCCCTGCAGGCTGGAGGGTGGGCTGGGTCTACACAGCAGCGTCAGCCTACAGCGACCGCCTAAAGCACTCCACCTCTCAGCCTGCTCTTCAAAGGTGGCACCGTGTTAAAGCTTTCACTCTGTCCACTCCCCAGATGTCAAGTCTGGTCGCCTATCCGCCTAGCAGTTGGGGAAATAATTCATATGATTGCTGTTAGGCTCTGCTTTCCCAGAGCAGCGAGGGCAAGGAGGTTCTTTGGTCAGGGCTGAGCTTCTGTCTGTGCGTGACTGCCTGCCGGTTTAAGTTAGCAAATCCTAAATGAAGAGCACAGTGCAGACACACAGCAAGGGCTCAAGACCCGGTGGCTGTTCTCATATTGCTGATACAGGGACACACTTCAAGGAGGCTTCATATGTATAACAGGGGCCTGCCTGATGGGTCTCTGCTTATTGAGAGTTAATCCATCAACTGCACAAAGGAACAGGGAGAAGGGGCAGCAGCTGCCACCTTCCCTCTTTCACAGACCAGACACCGTCAGGGAGGCAAAGCCCCATTAATAAAGTCAATGGTAGATGTTTTCCTATGTTTTGTGGGGTCACAGTTGGTACGTGTGTCACGAGCAACGTTGACACAGATAAAGGTGAAGGTGGTGCTGTGATTTAAAAGCCGGAGGTGGAGGGATGGAAGCAGGTGTGAGTGTGTGTGAGAACGTAGCGCTGTTTGCAAGACTTCAAGCTGAAGCAGCTTTAAAATAGTATATATTCTTTGGGTTGATGTGTTGAAACTGTCAACACTGAGTGACTCCAACCACCAACTGTGTCCGAACACGGTATGGTACCCAAGCCTGGGGACCTGGTGGCAATGCCTGAAGCTGTCATTGTTTGCAGGCCTGGGTCCTTCCCCACCAGCTGCTGTCTGTCAGTGTGGCAGGGACTGGCAGACTGGTTGGAACCATATGTGCTATTTCTGGGCATAGGAACTGAGTAAGGGGACCTGTCATGGTAAGTCAGACCAGGATATGAGTCAGTTATTACAGTGTTAAAAAGAACTGTCTTCAAAGCATCCTGAGAGCATTGTGCCATGCTAGCTACCCCAGTTTGAAGGACACTTAGAATTACTAAGCCAAGGAGAAACCCTGAGGAATATGGATGATCAGCACTGGCCAAAGGCCTAAATATGAAAAGGAGTGAATAAGGCAGAAGCTAAAATCTAGAGGTCCTAAAATTTAGAGGCAAAAAGAATGATTTATTAACAGAACCACATATATCTCTAGCATACTTTCATCAGATTTGCAAAAGCTATGGAAAAGCGGTTTGCTTTATTTTCCTTTTAAAACAAAACATTTTATTTGCAGAGCAACTTTTATAGGGCCAAATAAATGATCCTAAATTGGCTCTCAGAAACTAAATCTATTGGCACTGAGGTTGTAAAGATACAAAAAAGATGTCAATCTGTAGCACTATATGTAAGAGAGAAAAATTATTAACCATCACAATATCCACAAGTTAGTTAAATAAACAATGTTACATCCTTTTGACAGAACCTAAGCAGCTGTTAAAAGAAATAAAGTAATTTGAGTTTATGGGCATAGAATGATGTCTGTGATAGCTGTTACGGCAAAAAATCATGTTGTAGAAAATGTGCGTGGTAATCGCGTTTCTGTTAAAAATGGTATTTTGTATATGCATAGGAAAGAGCCTCTAAGGAGCTAGAGACAGCCATTAATAATTGCTATTTATGGCTTTTTCTACGAGCACAATGTTCTTGGAGGCCTCGGGGAGGCCTAATGGCCCACCAGGTCCCTGAACGAAAGGGTGAAGGTACAGTAATGCTGCAAAACCAGCATTTCTGAAATGCCTTGAGAAGGGAGGGCTTATGACCTCAGAAGCCCTCCCCTGACCCGTGTCATGGGACTTGTGCTTTCCAGCTCCCGGGTGTCCCAGGGCCTGTGTAACTGTACTTCTGGGGAGGTCACTGTCTGACCATAACCCCGGCTGCTGCTATTCAAGGGGGTGTCAAGAGTTATCAGTGAGAAGTGACAGCAGCAATCAATCTGCTCCACCACCTTCTCCTTCCCAGCAAAGTCTCCAGGAACTGTCCTTTGTTTCAAGGGCCAGGGCACAGGGAACTTGACCTGCCTCCAGGACCACAGGAACTCATCCTAGGGCCCTCCCTGTCAGGAATTTCCTCTCTGTAAGTAAACTGTGTCCTCTGGGCTGCCCCTGATGGCCCCTTTCTCCAGAAGGATGGGGAGACGGCTGGCCCATCTGTTTAACCACGATGCATGGGTCTGGAAACAGTGACTGCCTCAGCCTTGCATTCTGAGGGCTGAAGAAGCCCAGATATCCCCGTTCTTCACAAGCATTTTCTATTCTCTGTAGATCTCCTCTGAATGCCATGTGGTCTCTCCTTCCCCACCCCAGAGCTCCCCTTAGGTCATTCTTGTTCATCCTCCAGACTGGCTCCAACATCACCTTCTCTGGAGAGCGCTTCCCAACACCCCAAGGCCTGATACACCCCTTACAACCTGATACACGGCCCCGTCGCAGAGTGATTATCCCAGCTCTCATTTTCTATTTATTTCTGTGATTACTTAACTAATATCAGTCTTCTTCATGAGAACACAAGCTCCCCCAGGGCAGAAACTGCACCTGTTTTTTCCGCAGTGTGCAGCACAGTGTGCCGTGCCAAGCAGGTACCAATAAAGGCTCGCTCAACGGAAGGCTGCTGCAGAGGCGACTGGGGTAAGTATGTGCCAGTGGAAGGAAGAGCAGCTGGGAGGGCTCTGTGACTGGCTAGTCTCCTTGGTTTTTGGTCATGTGTCCGCGTGAATGTGATAGGTCCCCTCTTAAAGGCTGAAGATTTGTGAGGTGGGTACTGGTTGTAGATGACAGTGTTTAAAGGAATTAAATGCCAACATCAGAGAGAGCCTCTGCCCGGGTGGAGGGGGGCTGGGGTGGGCACTGACCTCGGCTGATGCGCTGCTTCTCCCCAGACAGGATGCCGGGGCTGTCGATGATGCTGATGCTCTTCAGGACCTGGTTGGGCAGCTGGGAGCACATGAATCTGGAAGAAAGGGATCAAAGGTGGGATCAGAACCTGCACGTCACGGAGCACTCTAACCTCGGAGCTCCTTGGCCTCTCCCAGCTCCTGACATCTGAAAAGCAGGGACTCGGAGGAGATTGATGGCACCCCAGCTGGTGCTGAGGAGACCAGATGCTGGTCCACAAGGCAGGTATGGGAGGGTGGCCTGGCACCGGCTGCTCCCTGCCACCAGATCCCTTACTGTTAATTTTATTTTAGCTAGCATTCATTGAATACAGGTATTTTACAAACCTCATTTCATTTGCTCTTCATATTAGTATCATGAAGAAGAAATTACCATTTACCTGAGGGGTTAAGTAACTTGCTCAGGGTCACTTAGAGCTGAGCCTTACACCCAGGTCAGTGTGACTCCAAAGCCCATCAGCCTCACCTGCCCCTCCTCTGCGCTGCTCCTCAGACAGGCATCCTGGGCTTCTCCTTCCAGGGAATCAACCCCATGCTTCCTTCAGGGTCACTGCCCCTGGGCTGGAGTATACCGAGCTCCATTCAGCCCCGCCCACACCCTAATGTGACAGTGGAGGTACTAGGGCCTGTTGTCACTGTCTGATCTCCCAAGGACTTAGCATCCTGCCTGGTGCTTGCAATGGCTCCAGGCTCAGGGTGGGGCAAGTGCCCACAGGCAACACCCCGAACCCTCCAGGTGCTTCAGTGCCCTAAGAGTGGACAAAGGGCAGGGCTGGCGAGAGCCCTGGCCAAGCTTCTCCAAGCCTTCCCCCTGGTCCATCACTTCCACGATACCACCTCCTCCTCCTCATCCCTCTGCCATGGCTCCAGTCGGCTGCCCTGGCATCAGCCTTGGAAGTAGAGTGAAGTGGCAGGAAAACCGTGGACTGGGCATCAGCAGACCTGGGTTCAGATTCAGCTCAGCCTTTGCCAATAACTTGCTTGGGACCCTGGACAAGGGCTTCCCCACTCTGGGCCTCCATTTCTTTATGTGTAAATGGAGATGCTTGGACCAGGGGCTGGCGAGGTTCTTTCAGCTTTAACACTATGTCACTCTAGGGTGGCAGAGGTAAATGCTTTGTTACTTCCACCCCAGGCAAGAGAGTCCAGGTTGGGGTGGGGTGGGGTGGGGGGTGGAATCTCTGTTAGGCACTGTGTCTGTTTTGAGCAGGAGCTGGAGAGTGCCTCTCCTTTTCCTGTACTGCAACTGGCTAACTTCGGTATCTGTGGGGGCAGAAAGTTTGAAAATCCTTGGTGAAAGCTCAATTCTTCCATTCAGTGGAGCTGGTGGGATTACTCAGAAAGTAAATATGCCAGGAATGCAGGAGAGGGAGGCCTGCCCAGCCTTCACAACGCTCCAACTCCTGTGGGCTCCTGTGGGCTCCTGTCAACAGCGCAGCCCGGCGGGATGGGCTGCCCTGAGCAAGGGGAGCAATTACAGACTTTTCGAAAGAACTTCCACTGAAGGTGCTCAGGACAAGTTTCTCTTACATTCTTTCCCACATTTTCTAGCCAGCCCAGGAAGATGAAGGAGTGATATTATAATTTTGCAGCTGGAAAAGTTGAAGCACAGAGGAGTTATGACATTTCGAGGTCGTGCGGCTAATGCGTGGCTGGCTGGGGGCCACACCCTGAGATTTCTGATGCCAGAGTTGAGTAGAACTCAACTCATAAAGGAAAAAACTCGTAACATTAAAAGTAAAGGATCAAGTTAATCTATAAGAAGCCCCTCATTTCTGATTTTCTCCTGCCCCTCCCACACTCTCCACCTTTATAAACCCCGTTGCCCAACACACAGATAGCTGATCTGTGAGAATAAATTCACCAGGATCACTACGCAGCCTTTGGAAGCTCACAGAGAAAAAAATGCCACAGTCAGGTCTCTAGACTTGGTGGTAGGAATGGAGTTCTGAGCACATCTGTGGTGGACCGCATTTCTTGTTGGTGATGATTCGGTCTCTAATCATAGTCCCACCCTTTTTATCAGATGGCTCGAGACATCTGGCAACGCTGAAAAAACTGCACATGTGTGAAACTATTTCACATACAGGATTCCTGTGAGAGGCTGACCTTTTTCTGAAACCACAAACTCACACTCAATACCAATTTTTTCCAAACCACAAAACCCCTGGATCTTAGTAAGAAGTTAAGAGAGGGATTCAAAATTTATAAACTATGCACTCCCTCTGCGCAGAGACAAGGTTTCAGCAACTCCCATGCCTCCCAACACAATGGCAGGGGCACAATTTGTGAACTACAAAGCAAGATGGTCAGATGTGGTGATGTCACCACACAACATACAAGGGAGCAGCCCCAGGGGCCAGGAGGGATGACTGCAGGCAAAAGGGGGTGGGCAGGAGGGGGAGGGGGAGAAGGAAGGGAAGAAAAAAGGGAAAGAGAAGGGAGCCCTCCAGGGGCACCCCAAGACAGGGTGACTGGGGCTGTGTGTGCAAAGCTGGACTTTGCACAGCCTTGCACAGCATGTGGGAGGCGGGTGCTGGGGAGGTGGGCAAAGGAGCACAGAGCACAGGTCAGCTTTCAGACTCCTATGTGGGGCCGTGGCTCACACTCTAGGGGTTAGAACCACACACACACATTTTCTTCGATAGTTATACTCCAGTCAGAAAAAAACCCAATGCAATGCTGTGAGAACAATACTGTCTCACTTTTACGTTCTACAAAAGGAAGGTGAAAAGCAGGGTTATTTACTGGGAATAACACAGTCAGCCTTGGGTCAGGCCTTCCCTGCTGATGCGTGTCTGCTGAAATGTTTCCAAGCACAGATTTGCTGTCCCCAGATGGATTTCCTACTTCCTCCGGAGTGACTGTAACAAACACAAAATGTATCTGTGCTTGCCTTCAACTTTATATGTGAGATATGCAGACATGAGCTGGTTCAGCCCAGGAGCCTCACATAAGATTTATGAAAGATCTCCCTCACCCAGGGCTGACTAGATATATTTTATTTTCTGATAAAAAGAGAGGAGGAGGGGATCATCCCTACACTGGACCCCCACTCCGTCACTCCCACAACCAAGGAAGGCTGAAGTGGGTAGCAGAGAGTAGGTGGGTGAAGGAATGGTCTGGGCTGTAAGGTCTTGGGCCAATTGCTACCAGTCCTGCGCACAGTAAGACAAGGAGGTAAGGGGATTCCAGTTTTAAAATCGCCTCTAAACACTAACATTCCAATTCAATGATCAGCATTTTAAATGAGCCAGGCAGTAGCTTAATAGTGATTTGATTTCCAGAGGAGTGATATCCAGTAGCTGCAGCAATAATAAAATGGCACAAACATCTACTGACCACTCACTGTGTGCCAGGCACTGTCCCAAGCACTTTCCATTAACTCAGTCAACCCTGGCCACGACTCAGCAGTGGGGCTGGGCACCTCCACTCTACAAAGGAGGAGACTGGGGTGGAGGGGAGCAAATTTTGCCACCCTGAAAAGGTGCCTCACTGGCATGAGGATTTATTTAAGCTGATTATTTTTTAAGGCCCAAGAGACTCAGGAAGAATCTCTGACCTCCCTGATAACTGCCTAAAGAATGTAGATGGAGGACCTTTCCAGGAAGGGAGCTGTCACCAGAGATAAATATAGTATGAACTAGGTGTGGAGACAGGGAGGAACCTTGCAAAATCTGTTTGTTAAAACTCCTCTCTGTGTCCCATTGTCTCTGCGTGACCCAGCAAATGTTTGTTTACCAAATATTTGTTTTTCCATTTCATGTCAATTGCCTTCCTCCTCTTTAAGGTTCCAAACTATTCCTCTGTCTTTAACTGAACATGGTACTTAAGGTGAGGGCTTCACTATTTTGGCGAGTTCTTTAGTTTTCCTGGGTCTTCCTCATGTATACATGTAATTCAGTTTTTGTTTGATTGTCTCCTGTTAATCTATCTCATGTCAGACCAGCCAGAAGAACCTAAGAGGGTAGAGGAAAATTTCTTCCTTTCCAACAGGGGGACAGAGGGGTCACATATCATAACTTGCCAAGTCACACAGCTGCTAGGTGACAGAGCTGGGATACGAAATGGGCATTGCTGACTCCAGGCCAGGCTGCTATAGCTATTTCATGCATTTGAGCCTCTGCTGTGTATCTTTATCACACAGAGGGCAACATCCTAAAACAAAGGAGCAACATGACATAGTGCTAGACTCCCCACTGAAGAGGCCCCTGTGTGCAGCTTGCTGTCAGTCCTCTGGTGTGGGGTGGAGCAGTGACTGCGGCAGAAGATCTGGTTCTGGCTGTCTTCCTTCTCACTCACTGCTCAGGTCTCTGAGCAGTTCCACCAGTCTGAGGACTCACAGGTTGTCGTCAGGTTCAAATAAACCTAAGCTTACAGTGGAATTGCTGTTTCGACCCTGGCTTCTTTACTAATAGGGGTAAGACCAGAGAGATCACACGACTTCCTATGTCGGCACAGTGAATAGCACACACTATGTAGAAAGACTTTGACAACTAACCTGTGATAATTATTATTATGTGGTCCTATCACAAAGGTCTGATCTAATCTTTCACTGCCCAGGGGGAATTTAATTTCATATCCAGACTACAAAAAGCCCATGGCTACCACTCAGATCAAGTCTTATGGAATTACCACCCTTAACAAGTAAAAGATGGCTGAACATTGGCAGTTTCACATGGTTCCACCTAAACATGGACTTTTCTAAATCAAGCCTCCTTCTCCCAACCACCGCAGGGGAAAAAGGAAAAGGTGGTTTTCTGGGAAGTCGGAACCAGGGCTGTATAGGCAGCTGCCAAAAGAGAGCAATTGTTTGATGACCTGGGAGCCACCACAAATCCTGAGGTTTAAGATTAATGGGAACAGCTTCAGGGAGTTTATGATGGATAAGCACGCCACACAAAACAACCCCCACAACCCAACCAACCCCAGTTAATCTCTCAAGTTGGGGAAAAAACCAGTTTTCCTGATGAATCAACAGTAATTCTTGGCAAGAGCCTGCTTTCCTTTATCTCTGCAGCTAAATTATCTGGTGGAGCCAGCATGTGTCTGGACTGATGCTGGAAACTTGTATTAAGTCAGTAATTTAAAAATTCCCAATGGTACTAAATGACTAGGTAATATTCATAGTCTAATAACATAGTCTAATAATATTTAATGAAGCCTCATTCAATTATAAACATAGAGGTAACAAACAGAGTATAAGTCCAAAAATACACATATGTATTCTATGAAAATTTAAGACAGTGTTTTTTGTTTTGTTTTGTTTTTTGGGTTTTTTAGGGTTTTTTTTTTTTTAATCATCACCATCACCATCATCACGTCTGGCTAAAATGACAGGAGCACTAGAAGTACTGGTCAGATTCTCTTAGCTCAAAAGGAAGTTTCCAAATTTCAATCCCTAGGGCCAGTGAGTAAAGTTATTTTTCAAAGAGAAACAGAGGAAGTAAATGAGATTAAGAACTTCTTCTGTGGAAGACTACAATTTAAAATTATACTAGATCTTAAACTAAAAACGATGTCTGTAGCTATCTGGATTTTAAAAAAGACAACTATTTTCAGAAAAGTAGATTGAGGGGGAAATATAACATCCAGTTCAAATGCAGGCTGCAGAGGGAAATGTCACAGGCCAATTCCTGACACTTCTTGACTGGACCAAAATGCTGGCATCTCCCAGGACTCGTGCCCTCAGGGTGCCGTGGGTGTTCCTCTCCTCTGGGAGGTGGAATTGCCTCCTGATAACAGAATTTGGAACCTCAATAACCACAGATTCCATGGAGCAACTCCTAGACAGGCCTACCTGTGGAATTCTCTCAAAAGTAAGGCAGCATGGTGGAGTTCCATGTCGCATTAAAGTCTTTTCCATAGACACCTTTGTTGTAGACTCAACTCCTTCTTCTATTGTTCAGGTATGGAATTTCTCTAATTTGAACCTGCCTTTTGGAAATTTGCCTTTGTTGTTCAGAAGTGCACTGTAGACCTTCTGTTACTTTCTTAGAATCCAGCCTTGAAGATTGTGACTCAGGCTCCACGGGTTTGCTTAATGCTTCGAGGCTGGTACCACCTTGCTAAATACTAAACTCTTTTAAAGACACTGCTGGGGGCAGATGCCCAAGCTCATGCCCTGTACTGAGAGGTCAGGTAATGAGACCTATCCCGGGGTGGGGGACCAGTGGATGCTCAGTGGGGTAGGGGTAAAAGTTCTCCATAGCAGACACCCAATTCTTTTTCCTACTAAGTACTCTATTTTGACCTAGTTCCCAGAAAGCATGCTACATAAAAAGTCTGCCTGCCTTTAGAACTAAGCTTGCTGCTCTTCCCAAGGGGATGCTATAATTACATACACACATTTGAGCATCCATACTAACCGACTCTCCTCTATACATTAGTGCTGCGTGAAACGGCAGCGCTGTTGTGTGGATACAACTTAATCAGGCTGCTTACTCTTAAGTGTGCTATTAACTTCCAGGAGGTACATCCCTGACATGTGAGCCTCAGATATACACAGCTGCCAGGTGGCTAGAAGGAGAGAGACTCTACTTTGTCAGGTACAGGGAGGTAGACAAAAGGGAAGAGGGAACCTGAATCCTAGTCCTATCTCTGCCTCTTCTTGGGCAACTCATTTTAATTCTTTCTTCCCAGTTTTCTGATCTGTAAAATGGCCCTGGTATCATGTCTCATTAGCCTTGAAAAGAGAGTGTACATGAAATCATCAGTCTATAATTTGGGACATAAGCATGATCATCTTCGTCATCATTGTTGGTGAGCTAAGATTAAGGACAGCCTTAAAACTTAAATAGAGGGCAGTCGGCAGTGATTCTCAGTCCAAACATCCTACCTCTGGGCAGCTCAGTACAGTGGCCACTAGCAGGACTCTGGGCCAGACGCCCCGGGTTCCAATCCCAGCACTGCCACTTATCAGCCGAGATGCCCTGTGGAAGTGAAGTGGACCTCTCTAGGCGTCAATTCCTCCCCTCCACCTTGGGGAGAATTGTAGCACCTGTGTCACAGGGCTTTTGTAAGAATTTAGAGCTAATTGACAAGTAAAGTTTAGACACAGAGTAAATGCCATGTAGTTATTTGCTATTATTTTTCTATATATTCTGAATTCAATTAACACTTGATTACATAATGCATGGATTATTTTCAGCAAGTTTAAAATTCTGAGATAAGTAACCTTGCTATTCAAAATCTTTCCTGAGTGCTTCTTTTCCATACTCATCTGCTGAATGCTTGGGATTTGAGAAAAATAAACTTGTTGGGGAAATAAATCATCTGCCAAAATAAAACGAGCCAGTAGCCACTCTTCCTAGTTTTATTCTTGTGAATACAGACTTTACAGAATGGGAGTTTGACAAAGGCGGTGGCTTCTTTCTTTTTTAAGCCTTTGTCAGGCAAAAAGAGAGTAAGACTAAGAACAGTGGTAATGAAATCACAGGACTCCAGGCAGCCTTCCGTGGAGAACGAGCCTGTGCCCTGCACTTTCCAGGGCCATCTGGGGACAGGAAGCCCACGACCACAGCTCCCAGGAGGCCCTGCTGGGGGAGCATCTTGTCCCACTTCTCCTCAGCTGTGGTCCACTCGTCCTGAGAGACCCTCTGGTGTTCTCCCTCCCGGCTCAACCCCCACTTCTCCCACAAGCCGATGCTCTGGTGCCAACCACAGCCACTCTGGAGCTGAGTTGTACACTGCTTCTAAAGTAGAGACTCTGCAGGTGAGAATGTCTCTGGGTGGTATTCTGCCCATCACTGTCAGCAGCAAGATGAAATTTCTCTGTGACTCCATCCACATCATTGCACATTTCTATTCACCCTGCTGCCAAGTTCCCTTGCTGCCAGTTGGATGCCTTCTTTGGAGCACAAACAAGTGCTTAGGGTTGAGGACAGATCCCTAGAGAGTTTAGTTCTTCACAGAAGGCACCTGTGGACATTGCCTGGGCCCTCGGCAGAGCCACCGCACAGCATCTGGGCACATTATTCATCCCATGGTCCTTGTGAATGGTGCCCCCTGGGGTTGTGCAATATTAGCCTCTGGGAGGATAGCAATCAGGGAGGATCTGTTCCTATTTTTAAAAAAATCTAAAAAGGAGAAGTGCAGTTCAAGTCTCTCGTCTGGTAGCTCTAGTGCAATGTCTCCCTAAAGGGGTATGGAAGACCCTTCCCTGTGCCTCCCACAGTCCACTCCCCACAACCACAAAGACCAGTCTAAAGCAGAAGACTCATCAAAGAGGGGAATGGCGGGGTGTGGGGAGCCACAAGAAAGGAGGAAATAAAAAGGCTTTCAAAAAAATAGGCTGGGAGTGGCAAAGAGGAGGGAGGGGGAGGTAAGAGCAGATGGTGTCAAGAGTGCAGAGCTGCATCCAAGAGAACCTGCTGGCTTGTTCTGTCCTGTCCCCTCTGTGTCACTGGGAACTCTGGTGAAAGGCAGAACAAACAAAACACAACTCCAATCAAGACAGAACCTCAGCTCTCTTACAACGTCAAAGCTGTGAAATAATGACCATGCAACAAAATCAACGCTTGGTGTTGCTCTGACCCTATAGCCCTGCCCTGCTCGAATGAGTAAGGAAGCAGCTCAGAGCATGGCAGTGAGAAGCAAGAGGGATAGCCAGGGAGGGGGGGGTGATCTGTCTTGGAATAACCAAGACTAAATCTGGGTGTCAAGTGGACCTCTGCGCCCTCTGGGCTTAGCCCTCTGTGCAGGAGGCCCCAGCACACCATGCCTGAGAGGTGGCCATCCAGCTACCATGCAACATGGCCAGAGATGGGGAACTCACTACCTCACAAGGTGACTTGGTCCACTTCTGTGCAGGCCAAATTATTAAAAATTTATTCCTCATACTGTGTGGCCTTATCATGTCCAATCCTGGGCCTTAGCTCTGGCCTCTGAAGCAACTCTGAATAGACATAAATGATCATTTCCTCAGAGAATCTTTCTGATTTTCTTATAATTTTTCTCTTTTAGAACACACCTGCTCTGTTCTTCTGTTTTTGAAACTTTACATGTAATTGGCAAGAATTCAAAGAACAGGTTTAAACGACCTGACCAAAGATGGCAGCTTGCTGGTCCTTACCGATTGAGGAAAGCATTTCCAAAGCGACTAAGCTTTCGAAATGGCTTTTTGGGGTCCACGACCAAAGCGTTCCCTGGGGTGCTGCCCTCTGTGTCCCCATACATCACAGCGATGAAGGAGTCGGTGGTGGGCTCTGGACCAATCCTCATGCCTGGGAAATCTTGCTCCAGTAAGTATCTGGGAGAGGGGAAAAGAAAAGAAACTTAGCATGTTGTCACAAAGCAAGAGGCTGGAAAGCTTCCTGGGGCTACCAATTTTTAACAGAATCATTTAAAAACCTGAAATGTAATCCCCAAGGAAAAGAGAATGATTGGTATTTCACTCTTTGGCTAATAACAAATTTTCAAAGCTTAAAATCTACAGAGCTATTTGCTCCCGGTGTAGGGAGTGTAGTGAAAGAGGCAGACATCTTGCAGGTTGCTGGGCCTCCTGAAAGTGGACCTTAGCTCAGCACAGCAATTTCTGTCACAACAGACGCCACCCCAGAGAAGGGTAACCCGCCAGCTCCTATGTATCCTGGAAGACCCTGCTCAGCCCCACCACCTTTAGGGAAGTGTCCCTGTCCCTCCAGCATGTTGGGGACACCTGCTCTGTGGGCCTGCGGCTATCATGGTGCTTACTATAGTGCTGCACATCTCCGTTTGTGGGCCTTGAAGGCAGGCCCACGTCTATGGCCACATGCATATCCCTGGCACCCAGCACGGTGTCTGCCACAGAGGGCACCCAATGTAGTGAATGAAATAGTGAATCATTTCCTTCCTTGTCACTGGCAATCAGTGCAGCCAGCACATCCTCCCTCATGCATTTTATGGCTCCCGTGGGCTCCTGGAGGTCGTGGCCTCGGAAGGCGATCTCCAAAGAATTCAGCAGCAACAGAGGCTGCCATGGGGGGTGGGAGTGAGGAAGGGGGGCGGAGATTAGATACCACCAGGGCCATCGCTAGCCCTTCGAGCAAATCGGAAAAAGATGCCCTTTCCTCTAGGTGCACCCAGCCTGCACCAGGGCTCTCAGCTTAGTGATCAGGACTCCAGTTGGATTTTACCCCCACGTGCCCCCTGGGCAAGGTGCCCTCACGTAGTTTAACCTGTACAACTACATCCAGTGGCCGTGGCTGCCGTTATTGAGGGTTCTCGTTCAGGGGGCTGGGGAGCCCAGCTGATGTGCTACAAGCCATAAGACTTGCCCAGGGACATGGTTAGGGTGGGGCAAGGGAGCCAGAGGGAGAGTGGTGGGGGAAATCTGCTTTCTGTGGGAAACGGCTGAGTCCTAAATAGCTCCTCCCCACCCCCACCAGCACTCCACTCTGCTGAAGCCACTCAGAGCCCCTCCCTTCCTCCCCACCAAGATTTCCTTTTCCATGAAGTGTATTCCCAAAAAAACACACAAATGTGTTCATGCATATATAGAATGGTGGGGGGCAAAGACCACTCCCTCCTTCCTTTGCAATCAAGGGGAGCATGAAGAGGAGGGTATTTTGGAATTCACTTCGCTCATTATCAAGCAACAGGTGGAAACGCAAACCTTCAGAGAACACTTGGTAGTGACAGTGAACGGACACTGTGGGTGGGGAGTAGGGGAAGGGGATCCCCGTCTGAGGTGACTGGGGCAGAGCTGTGTCCCCCCTTCCCTGGTGCAGAGGCTCAAGGGCAGAAAACTGCACAACTTTCTCCAGCTCCCCATCAGCAGCAAATAATCTGTTTGGTCCTAAACCATTTCTTTGTTCCTAAAATGTCCTGACTGATCAAATTTAAGCCCAGAACCTGTGATTTTATTTCCAGGGATAGAGGGAAAGAATGGAACTATCGAACATCCAACACAATTTTGCCATTTTTCTAAGAATAAGAAATTAAGTAGACTTCTGTTTTCTGTGTAAGTAAAATTGAAATTGTTTAGCACTCTCAGCAGGCTGTATTCTAAACATTTAATTGGTTTTTTAACATCAGCCAAGCTTTCTACATTTCTGTGAACTTGTAGAGCACCAGAATAGACACATCATTTAAACAGACCCCCTAAATTTAGAATAAATATGAAAATGATTAGATAATAGCACCCAGCACTTATCAAGTACAGTTGACCCTTGAACAATACGGGTTTGAATTGCACTCACACATGGATGTTTTTTGGTAATAAATACTGTGGTACTACATGGCCCATGGTTGGTTGAATCTGCGGATGTGGAGGAGCTGAGGTTAGGGAAGAACTGTGGGTAGGGAGGGCTAAATACATGTTATGTGTGGCTTTTTGACTGCTCCCAGGGTCAGCACCCCTAACCCCTGTGTTGTTCAAGGGTCGACTGTACTCACAATTTACTGGATATCACACAAAGCTCTCCACATGCACGGTGGTTTCATTTAATCTCCACGACACTCTGAGGTGGGTACTAACATTATCCCCACTTTACAGGTAAGAAAACTGAGGCAACAGAAAGGCTAAGCAACATGCCCAAGGTCACACAGCAAGAAGATGGAATGCAGGCAGTTGGGCTCCAGGTCTTTTGCTGTCTCCAGATACATTCAGACCTGGGCTTGAGCTGGTGTTTGTTCAGAGATGAGGAACACAGGGGGAGTTCAGGGCCCTCACGCAGAGCATGCCACTGAGCATAGGGCACCAATGACCCTATACTTCCTAAAAATGAGGGGAACGAGCTCTCCCACCCATCCCCCCTGCATGGTCCTTGGGCGCCCAGATATAAAAAGGGGTCAGCTCCCCTCACTCTGCCTGGGGAAAAGCTGGGGAGAGGAGGTGCTGTTTTTCTAAACATGTTCAAATTTAATTTTTTTTTAATTTCAAAACTTTTCCAGGCACCTAGTAGACTACAACATATCCTTAGGAGCAGAAATGTTCCTGTTTATAAATTCCTGTGAAATTCTACATTCATCTTAGAAATGCTGGTAAAAGCTACAGTGAGAGCATCTCCCGCTTTGTGCAGCCCCAGCACTTCTGGTGTGTACACAGAACGTGCAGACTGCACATGCACATGTGAACGTGGAATTTACTTTTTACAGCAACTCTGGGATCTCAAGTCTGAAGTCATTCAGCAGCAAGGCTAGAATTCAAGTCCACAAAGATCACACCCCTCCCACGTCCAGTTAGATATCCACGCCCCGCCGCCTGAACGAGGCAGTGTCAGGAGGCCCGTGGGAGAGACGGAGGAAGGGGAGACAACTGGGGAGAGGGACTGGAGCTTGAGGAACCTCAGCCAATGTCACCAGGCTTCCTGCAGCACACAATTCCCAGCTCACAAAAGGGTTAGCTCCGAGGGCTGGTATGAAACTTGTCAGGCCCTTTCTCAGAGTCAATGTTAACAGCAGCGGCTGGCTTGCCAAGACAGCCAAAAGTTTACACACACCAGTAAGACAAACCAGACAAGAAACTGGAGCACTGCCTACTCAGCTCAGTGCTGAGTTCCCCCTTGGGTGGCTCCCTGCACGCTCCCAGGCCTAGGCAGGAGGAGAGCCCTTCAGCTCCAGGCCGTGGGGAGGTGAGGATGGGGTCCAGGCTGGGGTGGAGGGGCATGTGGGTGCTCTAGTTGAGCAGTGAATCCCTGGCAGGGCAGTAACGCACATGTAAAGGTGTGTAAGCCAGACCATCATTGCCAAGGAGAGCCCGAACTGTTCCTGATGTTTCATTTACATAAAAGCACAGCAAATCCCACTGATTCTATGTTGGAGGTTTCAGTGAAAAACTTGAAGTATGAAATTGTTTAAAGAAGAGCAAGGGTTTCTTACTTTCAAGTTCACACTGTCAGAGACACTAGAATTTCCAAAGTAGCAACCCTGCCAGACAGAACTTTAACAAATAATCATTTTAAAGTATGCTGCTAATGTCAATCAGTTTGAAGCAAAAGGTGCCCCCTGAACTGTGACCCTGGCCAATCCCTCCATCTCTGGGTCCCAGACACACAGGCTGTATTATATAGCGTGTTTACATTATTTATTTGCTGAGTGATACTTTCTCTCACATACAATAAAAAGCCAGAATTTAGTATTCAATTTCATTATTGAAGTAATACCAATTAATATAGCATAGCATATTAGCATTGTAAAGACTCATAATACTCAGTGCTAGGGAGGGTGTAGTGAAATATCTTTATGTATGTTGGTGGGAGAATAAGTTGGTATAACCTCACTGAAAAGCAGTTTGATACTTTGTGTTAAAAGCCTTTAAAATGGAGCAATTCTAGTTTTAGAAATCTATCTTAAGGAAAAATCCTAGACACGTGAAAAATATTTATGCATGAAGATTCCATTACAGCATTATCTTCAACAGTAAACAAAAATTAGAAAAAAAGAAGATGTGTTTCCTTTCCCATAGCCCTTATCCGTCCCCCTAGAATGTAAAATTTACTTATTATTTTTATGACTTATTCCCTGTCCCCCCGGTAGAGTGTAAGCCACTGGAAAGCAGGGCTTTTGTCTCTTCTGTTCACTAACACTTCCATGTGCTTGGAACAATCTCTGGCAAGTGGGTGAGGTGCTCAATAAATCCTTGTTGAAATAATGAATGTATAGGTGGCCAGGAACACTGGTCCGTGTTCCACCATTCCAATATGCCAAGGGTTCTCATAGCTCAGGGTTGATTGGAAGGCCCTCCCCTAGATCTCGGCCTGTCAAATGGCACTTTCTGAGCCCCTCCAGCCTGTGTGATCCCCTACCCGCCTCTCTCTCATTACCCTACTCATAGTACTTATCAGTATCTGAAATTACCTCATGTTACTGTCCCAGGATGTCAGGAGCACTTGAGAGAGGGGCCCTTGTCTGTCTGACTCATCACCACATCCCCACAGCTAACACAGAATCTGGCACACAGCAGGTGCAGAACCAGAGTCCGTCTGTACGTTGTAGGTGCAGAACCAGTATCTGTGAACTGACCAATGTTCTCCTCGCCTCCCAGCCTCCCTCTTCCCCACTTGCTCTCAAGGCTCAGATTCTTCTTCTAAAGTACCACTCTAATTAGACAGCCTTCATCCACAACCTAGTCCTTCAGGATGACTTCAGTTTGGGGCCCCCAACAACCTCCACCTTCCACCTGGCAGTGGGGGCTCTTGCTCTTCCTCTTTTGGGGACCTTCTTCCCTCCTTGACTGGTCTCTTCCAGGCCCGAAATTCCTGCCCCTCCCTGTCTTCCCTCACTTCATCTCCTCGTGTCTCACCATCTCCACTATCTACTCTACTCACT